GACTTGTACGCAGCTGTAGACTTGTACGCAGCTGTAGACTTGTACGCAGCTGTAGACTTGTACGCAGCTGTAGACTTGTACGCAGCTGTGGACTTGTACGCAGCTGAAGACTTGTACGCAGCTGTGGACTTGTACGCAGCTGTAGACTTGTACGCAGCTTTGTCGCCAAACAGCAGCTGTAACATCAAATTCACTCACATCACTTATAGGACATGATGGACATCAATATGTGGAACGGCATATTTTGAGGAAGCTTCTATAACATTCAATATAACAATAAGCAATCTTTAAATTTTGACTGCCTCAGTCAAAAAGTGAGTATGGATTTGAATTTGAAACCATGAATATTGAGGCCAAAAAAAGAAATGACACAAATTTTGTGTGTCATATGTGGAAATGACACACAAATTTTCATTGTATTGTGTAATATGCTGCAACGTTTATATAACATTTTTACTTAATGGAATCACATACAATTTCATTTTTCGGTGGCAAAAATTGTCGTTGAAAGTTTCTGACGTCTACCAGCGTAGCAAAGAGTCGCGTTTTGTCTTCACTCATGAAATCACTAATCAGGTATTGGCCAAGTGAAACTTATCAGTTCATAGGTGGAAGAAGCTTCTGAGGTTCGTTAAAAGTGTGAAATTCTTGTATAAACCTAATTTCGCTCCAATAAATCGTTAATCTTTTTCGAATTTAATCATTTTCCCAACACATTACCAGCATACCTAATGCCATGTATTGGTCAATTTGTTGCCTTTATTGTCAATTGGGGCGTCGTTCGTCGAGCTATATTGCGTTTGTAAGATAGAACTTTCATCTAATTCCTTGTGGAAATTCAGTTGTAGCGGCCCGACTTTCTGCGAAAAGTCGGTCGCGCTTTTCTTCTGCCAACGTAATGCACGGGCATTTTATCCGTTGTACCCTTTTACAAATAGAACTTTTGATGGCTGACAATTTTGTAATCAGATCTTATGCTTTTTCACTATCCCGTTGGGGTAGCCTATAAATGTTGGAAACTCTTCCACAACGCAGTGATTTTAATAAAATTTCATTTTTTAATTATTAATTTCAATTATTTAATCGAGAGAATGGGTAGATGCAATATCAAAATCAATGCAAAAGAAATTTCTTAACCATGAGTAAATTTGAGTAGATGACGTAAATGCTTTGGTTTTGTAATTTATATCTAAATTCATGTTGTCGAATATTTTTAACAATATTTATGATACATAATTGTTTCATAATCATTCGTCTATAGGATGGATAAACAGCAAAATTCCTACTTTAGTGAAAGTTTGCGAAGAAGGGAGCTGGAAATTTTAGACTTCATTATATGATTTTATCATGATGAAGAAATAATTAAATGCCTACACACGATTAATTTTTGTTTTGTTCTGATTTTACAACACATTTTTATTTGGCTAAATTTGAGGGTGGTGGTTAGCTGAAGAATATTTCCCGCTATTTTTTTCGTTAAACTTCACTCGTCAGAGATAAATACCTTAAAAATTTCTCGGTGAGACAACATTTGCTCGTGTAAATAATTTCCTAGACTGGTAAGAAGTGAATTGCAAAATAAAGTAAATTGCTTATCATTACTCATAAGTCGAAAAATTCGTGGTAAATTGATGATAGAAGATTTTCATACATGATAGTCCATATACATGTTAATATTTCGTGTATTAATACCCCAAATGCAATACAGATTATTTAGAAATGAAACAGATTCATTGATAATCAGATAGCAATAGTTGATTTTAAAATTTTCGATTTAGTTCGATGAAATTCAGAATCAGCAAAAAGGTTTTATTTATCACAATTGTAATATGATCATACAAATCAATTACCAAACAAACAAAATTAAAATTTTCCTTCAGCCAACAATTTTTTTAATAAGTTAATATTTATTACACAAATTTGTGAATTTTTTTGATGCAGCAGTCACGAAATAAAATATAATTTTTTCAACGATCACATACTTCATGTCACAAAAAAACAGAGTGCAACAATATCGTTCACTCGTCTCACAACATAAACTGCCACAAATTTCGGTGTCGTGACAGACTCTGAAGAAATTAAATTATTTTTTTGTGCAACAAATCAGAAGGACATATACCTAAGTAGACACAAAGATAGAGGCATGACAAAAACTCGAATTTGAGACTCGTCTTCCTGAGGCATGGGAGGGGATTTGAGTCGACCTTGCTCTCAAAAATCCGAGTCTCTGGACTATATAAAAGCGACTCGAAGCTCAGTGTCACATCACACCTACGAGTAACGTAGCCAACACCAACCCTCATCATGATCAAAGCTGTGAGTCCCGAAATTTATTCAGCTTCAAATAAATAGGCTCAAGTCTGAAAAATTCAATGTTTATAGTGTGAAATAGAAAAGAGAATGAAGAAAAAGAAGAAAATGCCCTGATTGTCTAGGCATGTTATAGTTTCATCTAACATCGGTTCTTGACAATTATAAATATAATCTTGAAAGAACCGCACTGTCTTCAAAACTCATTGTCTGTAGTTCAATCAGATGTTATACTCTTTTCATCGGGATGTTGGTATGATCTTCCATATTGCCGATAAAGATTAGGAATTTTAAACTAAGCTAAAACAGTAAATTGACCGCATTGTGATCAACCATTTAAATCTTAGAAGTAAAAATAATTTGAGCACTTTATTGTCGTACAAATTTTGATGATGGTAAATGATGGTAAAATTCTACAAATAGTTTCTCATTAGCTATGAAATATTTCTTCAATAATTTTGAAATAAATTTTTCGTATATTTTCATTCATGAATTGTTCGCAAAATCAATGGATCAAAGAATGTAATCAATAACTTGGATCTCGCACCATATTTTGCTTCACCATCACATACAAGGAATTTGGCTGCCCTGGTTTGTTCACCAGCTTATTTTTATTTAATGAACAAAAAATTTTCTTGAGAGTTGAAAATGTTACCTTCTTGGAGGTTGATAAAACCAATATTTATTTCTCCGCAAAATTATTATATTAGAAACTTTGGAATCATCTACATTCAAAATCGAAATATTTTGCAAATGCGACATGTGCTTGCTCAAAGTAGTAGCGTTCTTCTTCAATGTAAGGTTATAAAGTTCAATTTAATAAGGTTCAAAAGGATATTGTAGTATACCGGTACATGAAAATTAAACTTCATTTTTTAGTTTAAGTGCCACGATGTTGAAAACGCCGAAGACAATGGACTCTGCGAATATATCAAAGTTTGAGGAAATCTACAGTGAAAATTCGTTAATCTATACCTTGCATTTATTCAGACCATCTTCGCCGCCCTCTTGGCCGTGGCCGCTGCCAGGCCAGATGCTCCCCGCCGGTCATACGCCGCTCCCCCCGCCAACACCTACTCTGCCCCCCGCTCCGACGACAGCAGCGAAGAGGTCGCCATCCTCCGTGACGACCGCGTGTACCCCAGCGCCGCCGGCGAGTACAGCCTCGACTTCGAAACTGCTGATGGCACCAAGATCTCCGAGTCCGGCTACGGCTCAGGCCCCGATGGCGCCGTCGAGACCCAAGGATCCGTGAGCTTCACCCACCCCGACGGTGAACGTGGGCAAATTAGATGAATGTAATGGTTTCTGTACAGTATTCAATTGGAGATCAATTTTTTGAAATCAAAACTATCGCTTTGAAAATTACAACCAAATCTTTACCAAAAATTTTAGTTTTCGACTAACACCTATCAGATGGATATTATTTTTCAGACCAACGGTTACAGAATAAATTTATAATAGAGTTATCGATCAATGCCCCTTACTAATTTAACTCAATTTTTCAATCATTCAAGTGATATTCGTGATAATACGTTTTATGTTCATTAATTCTGGAATGTCCTCGCGTACCAGTATTGATTCGCGCACCACAGATGCATGGGAACCGATTTTTCAAAGGCACGTTTTTAGAGTCAAAGAAAAAACGCGATTATCTACAGTTGGAAATAAAAGTAAGTGGGGAATAATAGAAATAAAAGAAAGTTCTTCATTGCATTCCCATACCAATTTTGATGCATTGGATGGTTCTCTAGTCTAAGCACAGAATTTTTCATTAAGAGAAGCATAGGAAATATAAACGGCAGAAAAATATCTTCTACGTAAATTGTCAATAAAAGTCAGTTTCAGTTTGTGTCCATTGTTTTCATAAGTAAAATGTAAGTATACGGGATATCGAAGCAATTGTTTGACAATAAGCATGTTCATTTTTGGTTGTAGGTACGTGTGTCTTACCATTGAGGCGGCATAGAAGAGGAGACCGTTGACAATTCATGCCATAGAAAAATTGGCGGCTCCTTAATAGAGAGAAGCGATTAGGTAATAATGTTATTAAATAGTTTAATATTATTTGATTATAGATCACTTCTTGCACTATTTCTTTAATACGAGTGGAAAAGTTTTCCGCGCTCATTGTTACCCAGGAATCTGAGTTTTATTGTATTTAGCAAGTTAGTTCAACAAGCACATGAAGCAAATAACGTATGCCCTTAATTAACCCTCAAGAACTTCCTCTGCTTTAGAAAGGTGAGTTTTTTATTAGTCAGAATCGGCCATAGCCGTTTGAGAAACTGTAACGAACGCAATACGTACCGCCCAAGGCTCGCCAGGGTTGCGACTGAGGCTACCGGAGCTGTCAGCCTTGGTATGAGAAGTGCAACCTGATCGAAGCGGAAATTGAGCGGCTGATTTGAGTGCTACCCGAACCTTAAGTGTTACCATTTTCTGTGTCAGACTCAGACTAGCACCTAAATTTTAGTTAGGTAGTTATTCTTGCTCATATTCAAATGGTTCCCGCATAATACAACTGCTATTGAACCAATAAAACTCTATTCGAAGGAATGTATTTTTTATAAATAGATATGTTTTTATATTACGAATGTTTTTTATTAGGACATTCATTTGTAAAATGGTTAATAATAGGAAAATGTTTAACTACTGCAGCCAGAAAATCCTTTCTCCATAGTCATTTCCCAAACCCAGTCTCGAAACAAAATTTCAAACAGTTCTTTCCTGGAAGTAACTGGATATTCATGTTTACTTACAATAGATTTAAAATAATTTGCTCACAAATTTATAGAAGATATTCGAAAAATAGCCGACAATTAAAATCATAATATTTAGGTCAAAAACAGATAATCATATTTGCTTGTCTCGTCTAATAAACTGCAACTGAGTTTCGCATCGTGGCTTCATTGCCAAAAATGATTCCTGGCAAATGTTTACAAAAATTGGAGGAACATAATTAATTTCACGTCACGAACAACTTATGAAAAATAACCATTGTTGTTGCCACGTCTGTCTGATGCATGGAGTTAAAGTCGATATTGCTCTCAGAACATTAGGTTTTTCGAGTATATAAAGAAGCAACTCGAAGCTTAGAGTCACATCACACCTACGAGTAACGTAGTCAACACCAACCCTCATCATGATCAGAGCTGTGAGTCCCGAAATTTATTCAGCTTCAGATAAAAGGGCTTAAGTCTGAAAAATTCAATGTTGAATATGTTTATAAGAAGATCCTAGCAAATTGAGAAACTGCCCTGATTGTATAGGTATATTATAGTTTCATCTAACATCGGTTCCTGACAATTAGAATCTTGAATAAATATTGTCTTTAATACTCATTAATTAATCTTGTCTTTAATACTCATTTTCTGCTGTTTAATCAGATCTTATATTTTTTCATCGGGATGTTGTATGATCATTCCATATTGCCAATAGAGATTAGGAACTTTAAACTAAGCGAAAACTGTAAATTGACCGCCATGTTATCAACCGTTTAAATCTTGAAAATAAATATCAGTTAAGCACTATAATGTCGTAAAAACTTTGCCGATTGTAAAATTTCCAAATAGTTTCTCATTAGCTGTGACATTTTTCTTCGATAATTATGTAAAAAATTATTGCAATTTCCGTGTATTTTCATTCATGAATTGTTCGCAAAATCAATCGATCAAAGAATGTAAAAAAAATATTGGCTTTCTCAACGTATTTTTCTTCTTCATCACATGAAAGGAATTTGGCTGCCCTGGTTTGTTACATTTGTTCAACAGCTTATTTTTATCTAATGAAAAAAACATTTTCTCGTGAGTTGAAAATTTTACCTTTTTTGAGGTTGATAAAACCAATATTTATTTCTCCGCAAAATGATAATGTTAGAAACTTAGGAATCATCAACATTCAAAATCGAAATATTTTGCTGTTGCAACATGTGCTTGCTTAAAGTAGTAGCGCTATAAGGATTAATTTGATGTTAGGTTCTAAAGTTCAAAAGGATATTGTAGTATACATGAAAATTATACTTCCTTTTTTTAGTTTGTCTGCTACGATGTTGAAAATGTCGAGGGCAATGGATTCTGCGAATATAACATAGCTTGAGGAAATCAACAGATGAAATTTATTAATCTATATCTTGCATTTATTCAGACCATCTTCGCCGCCCTCTTGGCCGGTGCCGCTGCCANAATTATCGCTTTCGAAATTACAAGGACATCTTTATCAAAAATTTTAGTTTTCCGACTAACACCTATAAGATGGATATGATTTGTCAAACCAACGGTTATGGAATAAATTTATCATTGAGTTATCGAGCAATGCCCCAATTTAACTCAATTTTTCAATCATTCAAATGACATTCGTGATAATACATATAATGTTCATACCTTCTGGAATGCCCTTGCGTACCAATAGTGATTCGCGCACCACAGTTGGGAACACATTTTTCAACGAAACGTTTTTAGAGTAAAAGAAAAAACCCGATTAGCTACAGTTTTCCCTAATAATTGAAATAAAAGGTTTTTCATTGCATCATAAAACCAATTTTGATACTTTGTACAACTCAATGGCATACCAAGTACCAAAATCTGTCCTCCTGAACACAATCATATAGGGCCTGCGCCGGATCTCACCGTATCATACTTGACCCGAAAAAGTGTCAAAAACATGGCCTAGACATGTCTAAAACGGCGTAATAAACTTACTGTCGACTGGTTCTGATAGGAGGCTTCACTCCACGATATTGTGCATTATCGAGCCAAGTCTCATCTCTAAATAGTTCATCGTCGATGCCTCTGCAGTCTCTTCTGGCCGGCCGTTACACCGATCGGTCATGCGATGCGAGAAACGCTGTCACTGAGTAGTATTACTCCTTGGTTTCCTTATCTTAGCCTATTTCCCTTATAGTGATCCCCTCAGTGTCAAGTGTATACAAATATTCGTTCCGGTAATACCCTTGGGTGTATTTGCAAGTCTTTATGTGGTCGCCACGAACCCTCCTGTTATACTAGGAACCTTCACCCTCTCCAGACGCTGCTCATAAGCCACATCCTGAAATCCAGGGATGACTCGAGTCATCCTTTAAGACTCTTTAAATGAGTTGCGTGTCTTTCTCAAGTCTGGGCGACCAGGCGACGTTGTATTACTCAAAGTGAGGCCTAACAAATGTCACAAATCCACAAATTGTATTTTCATTGTCCTGGAATCGATAAACTCAGAAATGATCTTCGATCCAATCAGACTCAGATTCATGTTCGCCTTATTAACCGGTACTTCGACGTGCTCCGAATACCTTTGTCTCGAAACTGGTTTAATTGTTGGATTACTTTTTTCCGAAAATTAGTGGTTCATACATTTGCCAGTAAATTTCTCTAAAGCGTAAGAAAATTATATTTAAATTTGAAAAATATGAGATGTGTACGATGAGACAAGAGACATGAATGTGATATATCTGCTTGTTATGATTACAGGGGAACAGTTACTGTATTAATGAATAAATTGTGACCGCAACTCCAATCAGATGATTAGGTAAACACTGTTCAAAATGTACAAAATAACCACGATTTAAAGTCATCGCTTGGAGATCGTCCGTCTCGACTGTGTCGCATTCAGATTTGCCTGGCAGGAAGTCTCCTTATTTCGGGTTGCAAAATAAAGTTAACGAAGGTTAAATGTGACTGAGTCGTCGGGCGTGGTTAACTTGCATTGCTACAAGGCGACGCAGCTGTGAACTTGTACGCAGCTGTAGACTTGTACGCAGCTGTAGACTTGTACGCAGCTGTAGACTTGTACGCAGCTGTAGACTTGT